TTTAAAAAAAGACGAAAGAGAAGCCTTAAAATAAAAAGACTCTAGCAGTTACTCATAAAATCAAGCATAGTATCATACAGTCCAACTATTTATTATTCCTTTCCAGGTATACATAACCACAATAATTGGAAACATGTCCACACAAAATCTTTTTACAAAAATGTTCATAGTAGTATTCATAAAAGTCAAAAGGTAAGCCGGGTGTTGGTGGTGCACGTCTTTAGTCCCAGCACTCGGGAGGCAGAGGCAGGAGGATGTCTGTGAGTTCCAGACCAGCCTGGTCTACAAGAGCCTCCAAAGCCACAGAGAAACCCTGCCTCGAAAAACCAAAAACAACAAAAAAAGCTAAAAGGTAGAAACAACTCAAATGCACATTAAGACATGAATGAACAAAATACGTCATACATATGCCATGGAATATCTAACCATAAATAATGAAGCAAATATTGTATAATTTCATTTAATGTAAAATATCTAGAATACACAAATCCAAAAAAATGGAATGATGGCTAATGGTGTAGTGTTTTCTTTTTTCTTTGGATTTTTTGAAACAGAGGTTCCTGTCAGGAAGGCTGGCCTCACACCTCCTGTGTAGGTGAGGATGATGACATTGAACCTCTAGCCCTCCCTCCTTATATCTCCTAAGTTCTGGGATTCTGGGTATCCACCACTACACCCAATAAGTGCTTTTTGGGTGAAGAACTATTCTGGAATTAAACTTATGATAATGTTTGTATAATTGTATGAAAATACCAAAAATACTGAACTGTACACTTAAAATGGGTGAATTATGCAAAAAGATTCCACACTAAACGCAAATTCAGTATTTACAGATGCAAGGAATAAAAATTCCCCAGGAAAGCCTTTGCAAGAAGAGACTACAGGAATAAGAGGGTGATTAGGAGCTCAGAAAAAAGTGGAAAGCAGAAGTGAAGAGATCAATCATGGTCACAAATGGTCACAAAAAGCACTTTACCTTATCACCAGTTCTTCAGTAAGGAAGGGCTATAAGTGCACACAGAACCCCACTGCTGTTTATTATTCTTACTCTGGTTACGCGGGATAAAGTAATTCCTGTCTCTTTCACACAAAGATAAACAGGAAAGTCAACACATTAGAAAGAAGTTAAATGCAAAGGTAGGCCATCAAAACAAAAATACTGTTCCCAGAGGCTGGGTAGATAGCTCAGTAGGTGAAGTTCTTGTCGTACAAGCACAAGAACTTTAAGCTGGATTCCCCAAAACAGATGCAAAAAAGGGGGAAGGAGCTTACAAGTCTTTCTTCCACATACATGCCATGGCATGAACATGTAAATTCAAACTAAGTAAGTCTTTAAAAAAAATTATGTGTACGAGAGTTGATCTGCATGAATGTATGATGTGTACCATGTGTGCATGTCGTACCCACTAAGGTCAGAAAAGGTCATCAGATAAACTGGAACTAGAGTTTCAATAGTTGTGAATAATCATGTGGGTGCTTGGAACTGAATCCAATTTCTTTTTTTTAATCCAACTTCTTTACAAGAGAAACAAATGCTTTTAATTGCTGAGTCATCTCTCCAGCCATAAAGAGCTGTTTATATTTTAAAAAAAGTTGAAAATGAAGCCAAGAATGGTGGCTCACACCTATAATCCTAGTACTTTGGAGGCTGAAGCTGGAGGATAACTATGAGTTTGAGGCCACCCTGTGCTACACAGAGTCTCAAGTCAGCCTTGGTTATAGAGTAATACCCTGTATCAAGTGTGTGTGTGTGTGTGTGTGTGTGTGTGTGGTGTGTGTGTGTGTGTGTGTGTGTGTGTGGTGTGTGACAAAGACTAAAAATCAAATCCTATGAGATGCACTAAAAATAGTGACCATTTAAAAATTATGAGTTAAAATTATGTTCACCATACAAAATAAGGACCTGAGTTTATCACCTACATAAAAGCTGGTACAACAATCACAACTATAATCTCTGGGCTGAAAAGGTGTTTGCTGGACAGCTAATCTAGCATAATTAATGAACTACAGGCTCAGTGAAAGACTGTGTCTCAAAAATAAGACAGACATGAGCTGGTTCAGCATATAAAGATGCTTGGCACATAAGCATGGAAAAATGAATTTGATCCCCCAAACCCATTTAAAGGTGGATGAAGAGAGATGTCACAATGTTATCTTCTGACCTCCACATGTGTCCCAGCACACGAGTGTACCTCAACACTAATAATAAATAAAAATTAAAAAATAAGATAGGATACAATCAATGGAGACAATTGATATCTAACCTCTGGCCGTGACATGCACGCAGCACTGATACACACATACACACACACACACACACACACACAAATTCATTGTAGCAAACATTTATGAGCAAAAATTAAGTATGTTTCATTTATAAGATAAAAAAACACTTAAAATAACAAAGGAAGGAGGCTGTAGATGCAGCTCAGTTAATATAATTCTTGCCCAGCATTCATGAAACCCTAGGTTCAGTCCCCTGTATCACATAAACCAGTGGTTCTCAATTTGCGGGTAGATACCCCCTTTGGGTTGTCTAGCGCCCAGCCAATTCACAGACCATCAGAAAACACAGATATTTACATGTTGATTCATTGTCTAGCGCCCAGCCAATTCACAGACCATCAGAAAACACAGATATTTACATGTTGATTCATAACAGTAGCAAAATTTTAGTTATGAGGTAGCAACAAAAATAATCCTATGGTTGGGGGTCATTACAACACAAGGAACTGTATTAAATGGTCGAAGCATTAGGAAAGTTAAGAACCACTGGTATAAACCAAGTGAGATGTTCACATGCCTTATATCCCACACAGAGGCAGAAGATCAAAAACTCTAGATCATGCTCAGTTACATATTGAGTTTGAATTTGCAACCTTTTGTCTCTAACTTTTGAGTGCTGAAAATTGAATTCATGGCTTCAAACATCCTAAGCAAGTACTCTACCAACTGAAATCCACGCATAGTCTGGCGATGGTGACACACGTCTTTAATCCCAGCACTGGAGAGGCAGAAGCAGTCTGATCTTTGAGTTTGAGACCAGCCTGGTCTATAAAAGCTAGGTCCAGGACCAACTCCAAAGCCACAGAGAAATCCTGTCTCAAAGGCCCCCCAAAAAGAAATCCATGCGTAGCCCCAAAACAGGTTTGAAAAACTAACTTTTTGTGTGTGATATGGGTGTGCACATCCTTCCTTGTATATGTGTTCATGTGTGTGCAACTATGTTGAGACCAGAAATAGCTCTCCATATTATTTTTTTTTTGTGAGCCGAACCTTTAACGGCTGAGGTATCCCTCCAGCCCCTCCACATTATTTTTTTAGACAGGGGTCTTTCATCCAATCGAAGCTCACCACTTCAGTTTAACTGAATTGTCAGTAAGCCCCATCTGTGACTCCTGACTTTTTCTTTGGGTACTAGGGATCTGAACTCAGATACTCATGACTGAACTGCAAGCAGTTCACTGACTGAGTCATTTTTCCCAGCCCCAAGAAATTTACTTTAAATTTTTATGTACTTCACGATGCTTCTATGGTTTGAAATTTTTACAAGAAAGCAAAAACTGCAATAAGACAAGGTATGTGAAATGTACTTTCCATAAATCTATATGAGCCTAAAAGAAAGGTAAGGCAAACAAAAAATAAATAAAAAGTAAGGCAAACACATTATAACCCCTTGTTCACTGTTGAGGAAATACCTGAGAAAAAGTGATTTGATCAAGGTAATCAGATGTAGTACAATTCAAAGAAGTGATGTCTTCAAATCCCTTGTTCACTTCAAAATGCACTATTTTTTTAAGTGGACTAAATGAGAAGCTGAACTGCTATCAATGAACAAGGAAAATAAAATAGGCATGACTTCCATACACCTGTAATTCCAGTGTTTAGAAGCCAGAGGCAGGAGAATTCGAAATTCAAGGCCAGCATTGATACATTGTGAGTTCAAGGCCAGCCGGGACTGCAAGACTAACACTCTAAAAAAAAATACCCCAGCATAAATGAACAAACAAGGCTCATTGTGAAAGTACAGTAAAACCTTTTTTAAGGTTTTTGGGATCTGTTCACACCTAGGGAAAATAAATGTTAAAACGTGCCAGGCCTGGAAGTGTGAGCCTATCATCCCAACTACTCAAGAGGATAAAGGCAGAGGGCTAGAAAGTTGGAAGGCTGCCTGACCTATAGAATGAATTAAACAGCAGCCTGAGTCCAGTGAGAGACTGTCTCATAGCTCTGCTGTGGAGTGCTAGCTAGGCATGGGGGAGGGCCTGGCTTTAATCCCCGGGGCTACAAAAGAAAAAAATGTCGCCTGACCAGGAGCCTTAAGGACCCTGTTTTCTACAAGTACTTTGCAATTTGTTCCAAAAAAAGCATTCACTCAAGGTGTAGCTCAAAAAGACCCTCCCCCCAAGGAAAAATATTTAAGGGGCTAAGTTTCTCTAGGACAGCCCTGACAGGGCACAGGTGACTAAATTCTTCATAGAGGTCTTCAGTATTCTCGAACATTCTACCAGGAAGATTCGGCTACTGCGGCCAGAACATCTGTCGCGGACAAAGCGGGCGCTCCGGTCCCGCGGGCGACGCGTCCGATGCAGCCTGCGGAATAAGGGTTCAGTCCCGGGGCACCGCCCCCTTCCTGGTCCCCAAGACAGACACTCCGAGCAGGGCGCCGCCACCTGCCCGGCGCCATGGGCGGGGAAGCCTGAGGTAGTGGGCAGGTGCCGCGCCTCGGCAAAGGTACTGGCGGGGCAGCCATCAAACGGCCGCCAGCCAAGCGCGCGCCGGGGGCCCGAGGCGCGCGGGCGGCAGCTGCAGAGGGAAAAGCTCTGGCCCGGCGTGAGGACAGAAGGGACGCGATCCCCTGAGAAGCGGAGCCCGGCCGCCAATCGTTCCCTGCCGTCCATCCCGCCACCGAGAGCACCGCCTGTCCCGGGCGAAGGACACACCCTCCCTCCCGTGAAAGCCCGGGCCTCCTCGCTCCGCCTGCTCCCCGGACCGCTCACCGCGCAGGGAAGTCGTCGCCATAGCCGTCGCTGTCGCCGAAACCTTCAACCCCACAGCCGCCTCTGCTCCCTCCAGGCCTCGCCCCTCACGCAGCTCCCGCCTCCTGCTCCAACAGCACCCAGCCGCCCCCGCGGGTCCAAGAGACCCGGAACCACTTCCTTCCGGAATACTGTGGCCCCACCTCCACTCTGGCCCCGCCCACCGTGTCCGCCTCCCGCCAAACCGGCTCTCAAGGAGAAGACCCGGCTTCGCGCCCCGCCCAGGCTGCCCTGAGGGCGCTAGCGCCCTTTGCTGCTGGATGTGCTCACCTCGGTTCCCTGAGAGGCTTAAGTGCCCCCTCATCTCCCGCAGGCTGGAGGAAAGGAACTTAATGGGGGGCTCTTAGGAGTTGAGGATAGTGGCCTCGAGGTCGGCCCTCAACTTGGTGCTCTGCCTTGTATGCAGAGCTACACACCAAGAGGCAAAGGTAGCAGCCACGCATGTCCAGCTCTTTGAGTGGCCCTCAAAGTCCTTCCAGAATCAGTTCACCCGAGCCTGCTTCTTCTTAGCCTCTGTTCCCACCTTCTTCATTTCTAACCAGGCACCTAACTTTTGTTTTCGTGTGTGTGTGTGTGTGTGTGTGTGTGTTTTAAGATAGCCCTGTCTGTCCTGGAACTCTCTCTGTAGACCAGGCTGGCTTCCAATTCACAGAGATCCGCCTGCCTCTGCCTCCTGAGTGCGCCACCACTGCCCGCTCAGCCACCTAACTTTTAACCATTTCTCATAACCTTAAATGAAACATCTACTTGGAACCTCGGAACTTTCCAGATAGGTTAATGATAACAATAAATACTAGCCCATCTCTGTCTGCTTTCTTTTACCTATTCTCCTTTCTCCCTTTCTCTTTTTTATATTAACATAATTTTATTGATTCTTTGGGAATTTCACATTATGCACCCCAGTCCTACTCATTTCCCAGTTTTCCCATGTCTGCCCACCACCCTTGTAGCCTCCCCCCAAAAAAAGAAAATTAAAAGAAAAAAGCGACTTCACTCCTCTGTCTTTCCTGCCTCCCCATCTCATATGCATTTGTCATACTGTCCTTTGGAGCTGTGTTGTGTCATGCAGTATATCCTTTTCCCCAAACAGCAAATGTTCACTACAATAAGTTACTGGTCTGGTTCAAGGCACTGGTGATAGACCCAGGCCCTAGCAAATCTCTGATCATTAACCCCTACACTGTTCCTGAATGGCTAGGCCCTGAGCCACAACCCAGTAAAAGAAACACACCCTAGATTTGGAGCCCAAGCCAGAGGAAGAGGCACTTTATCCCTAAACCTACCACCAGGGAATAACACCCCAACTCTGAAACTAACGCCAAAAGAACACACGTTACCCCAAGAATCGTGACCTGTAAAAGAAATTTGCCCAAGCCCTAAAATTGGAGCCTAAAAGCTAAAAAGAACCATAAAAAGAAACACAGATTGGCCCAGAAAGTGGAGCTATCTGTGCCCGACACAAAACCAGCCAATCCCTGAGCAGGGCAACCTGACCAATCCCTGAGCAGTAAAGTAGTAACCTCCAGCCTAGGGCTGTGAACTTTTTGGCCCGGGGCAATAATAGGGAGGTAGTAACCTTTAGTCTATAGGCATGATATTTTCTGGGCCTCGGCTCAGGGAAGTAGTAACCTATAGTCTGGAGGCATGACTCCCCATGGACATTAAGCCTAGTGAAGTAGTAACCCCTGGCCTAGAGGTATCCCTCTGACCTTAGCAGGAGGCAGACTCTTCCAGTCAGCCAGGCATGCCTGACCTTAGCCGGGAGCGGCCAATCAGAAACAAGCAAACAACTCCAGGTGCCCTCATCCAGAGACAAGAACGTTGCAATTCCCCCTCCGGGGCCTAGCCAATCCCAAATCTGTAACCATGCAGTTTTGGAGGGCTTGAACCAATGCCAAGTCTGTAGCTATGCAGGTTGGAATTCCCCAAGTCACCTTTGTTATAATAGGGCACAAGGGTGACCTTGGTGGATCCCATGGTGGGGAAGGGACAAACATACCAGACAGAGCTTAAGTGGGAAGTTTCATTGGGGAAAAAAGAAAGGGAATGGAGAAAGGTAAGGGAGAGGGGGTAGAAAGGAGAAAGAGAGGAAAAGAGACACAGGAGAAGTCCTGTCTGCCCCTTCAGAGGAACAGAAGGAGAGAGTGGATGGGAGCAGTTTGCCTCAAAGGGACCTGTACACCATAGGACCCTGGGTTGGCCAGGGTACTGCCTGAGTGCATTCTGCCAGGTGACAGGGGACAGTCCAACGTAATGCCCGAATCCTAATACCATCCCTCCTATGTGGCTACTATAAACGCCCCTTCCCTTTCTGCTCTAGGTCTTCCCTGCTCTGATCCCGTTGCTGCTGCTGCTGTAATCCTGCTGCTTCTGTCACTGCTACCATTTCATATGGATGGAGAGACCCAAGTTAACTCTCAAAGACCCTTTGTTTTTACAGCACAGTTCATCTTGTGGTGGTGACCGAGGTTCTAGATTTTAGAGGTTTTTGTTTGGTTTTGGTTTTGGTTTTTCGAGACAGGGTTTCTCTGTATTGTTTTGGAGGCTGTCCTGGAACTCGCTCTGTAGACCAGGCTGGCCTCGAACTCACAGAGATCCACCTGCCTCTGCCTCCCGAGTGCTGGGATTAAAGGTGTGCACCACCACCACCCGGCTAGATTTTAGGTTTAATTTTGGTTTCTGGTATACCCTCAATAATGGATCCTCACTGAAACTTTTCTGGAATATTCTGCTGTCGCCCTGAGTCATGGAGATCGTGCAGCTCTGGTTCCACATATTAGGGCCGGCCAACTCAAAGCCCTGGATGTGGGCCTGGGTGTTAGCATAGTTGTTCAGTCTGGGCCTCTACAGGAACTGACCCCCTCAGGTGAAGGCCAGTTCTCCTGTGCCCATGACACTGGAGCCCACTTTCCCAAGCATATGGTGAGGGGCTGGGTCACCTATCCAGTGAATGACAAGCAGCTGGCAAGGAGGGGGACAGTTTTCCTGGGGCTATCGAAGGTCAGGGCTAGCTCTCCTGCATCTACTCCACTGAGGCCAGTTCTCAGGGGATGGGGACAGCTCTCCTGCTCAGGTGCCTAGGGAGGGGCAGAACCAGCTCCATGGTACCTAGGCTGGCAGGACCAGTTATCCTATGCCCCCCTGCCCCGTGGTAACACGGGCCACAGACATCAGTACAACAGACACTGACTGCAGTAGGATTACATACCCGGACATGGCCCTCAGCTGCAGCTCCAGCCTGGCCCACTTGTCACTATGGCCCTGGGGGACAGTGCAGGCCACTCAGATCTGCATGTCCCCAAAGACAGTGTGGCCCTTGAACACTAATGTGGACTCAGGTGGCAGACTCCAGGCAGCCACAGGCTTTTGGTGGTAAGACAGGCCATGGACAAGATCACAGACCCCGGCTGTGGTAGGACCATGGACTCAGACACAGCCCTCAACCACAGAGTAGATAGGGCACTTCCCTGGGCTGGATATCCCCAGTACTATAAGAAAGCAGGCTGAGCAAGCCCTGAGGAGCAAAGTCAGTGAGTAGCACCCCTTCATGGCCTCTGCATCAGTCCTGTCCCCTAGTTCCTACCCTGTTTGAGTTCCTGTCCTGGCTTCCTTCAGTGATAAACAGAGATATAGAAGTAGTGTAAGCCAAACAAACACTTTCCTCCAAGTTACTTCTGGTCATGGTGTTTGATCACAGCAATAGAAACCCTAACTAGGACATCCAAGCTCACCAATTAATCTAACCCAGCTAGCTGGAAAAGCCCAGAGATTCTCCTGCCAGCCTGGAATGACAAACAGGCAGTCACCACACCCAGCTGGTTTACTTGGATCCCAGGCATCAAACTCAGGTCCTCAGGTTGCAGTGCAAGCACTTTAAAAACTTAGCTATCTCCCTAGCCACCAAATATATTCTGTTATATGCATCAATTCTCAGGGCAATGTACTCTGGAAAAATCTGCCAACTGTGTCCAAAGCTTTATCCCATAAGTCATACGCATTGTGGAATAGCTTTGAATGAAACCAGACATAAAATTATAAATTTATCTAAAAGATGTTTTGGGATTTCTTTTTGTCACTCGATAATGTGGTTCTAAAGCACAGACTTCATATGTGACAATACCAAGTCGTGATGACAAAAGGTAGGAGACATCTGATTGCTCCATTTCTCAAATTTTGCATTTTCAAATCCTATTTTTCTGTAGACCAGACCAGGCTGCTTTCGAGCTCACAGAGATCTGCCTGCCTCTGCCTCCTGAGTGCAGGGATTTGTACCACCACCACCTGCTCTTCAAATCCTATTCATTTGAGTCCACAATCCACATCCTTGCTACAGTATCTCTCCCTTAGTCTGAGTACATAGTCTTCACTGATCATTGAGCTCTCACTTCCCATGAACATTCTATTCAACTTAAACCAATGTTTTATACAGTAGTTTCCTCTGAATTAAAGCATTCCCTCCAGAAGGGAGGGAAGGAAGAGGTTTATGAAACGCAGGAGGTAATATATATGCACACCTTAGTGAAAACTGCAAGTTGCAAGATTCACAAGGCTCCTCCCCCTAGTGTTATCCAAGTGCTAAACAAGTGCTGGGGAACGGACTGACAAGCCTAGCTGCCTACAGAATGCTGGGCAGCCCAGAGTAAAGATGGAGGTTGCTGTTCTGCCTTGTCCCACAGCCATTTAGGCCCAAATGAGCACACAGAGACTTATATTAATTATTAAACTGTTTGACCTATGGCTCAGGCTTCTTATTGGCTAGCTCTCTCTTAATTATTAACTCATTTCTATTAATCTAAGTATTTCAATGTGGTCTTATCTTACCAAAAAAGGGTCTGGATCTGTAACTCCTTCCTTGGCTACATGGCATCTCCTCTAGTGCATTCCCTCTCTTAACTCTACCCAGCATTCTCCTCATTTGGTAGCCCTGCCTATACTTCCTGCCTGGCTACTGGCCAAACAATGTTATACTCATCAGTCACTAAGAGAAACATATACAGAAGAACAAATCTCCTATTTTCTGTCTAAATAAAAAGAAAGGTTTTACATTTAAGATAGTAAAATTACAAATAACAAAACAGTTATCAAGTAAGAACTGTAGTTA